CTCTTTAGAAGGCCAGATCCTGAAGATGAAACTCAAGTACTTTGGCTACCTAATGAGAAGGAAGGACTCACTGAAGAAGAAGAAATTAATGCTGGGAAAGATCGAGGGCAAAAGAAGAAGGGGGTGACAGAGAATGAGATAGCTGGATGGAGTCACCAAAGCAGTTGGTGTGAGCTTAAATGGACTCCGGGGGATGCTAGACGATAGGAAGGCCTGGAGGAACGTTGTCCATGGAGTTGCGATGGGTCGGACAGGACTTTACAACTAACAACAATACACAAGTAGCCTAGTACATATATGGCTACATTTTGGCCAATTGAAACTTTTGACATATCTTCAATGGCAACCCAATTTAAATCATGTTGCTGTTGCAAGAATATATTCCCAAAAGACCTTGAACTGGCTCACCCACCATAGGGTGGCCGACCCTTGTTATATACTGCTTGTCCAGACATGTCCCAAAGATGCTTTTTCAAAAAGGCAAATGGACTTTTTTTTAAAAAACATTTTACTTCTCATCCAAGAAGCTTCTTCAGTTCTAACTAACTAGAGGGGAATGGAAAGATTTATATTCTTTACAGTCATCTGATTGTTAGCACTCTGAGTCATTGAAGCCACTTGGGACTTTATCTGTAACTCAAGAGTCATCTAAATCAGAGTGCAAATGGTGTTGAACTTTTTTCAGAGAGCTTTCAGACAATTTTCAGAGAGCTAACCAGATGACCACAAAGAATTTAAATCCTTCCATTAGAACTAATGAAGGTTTTTGGGTGAGAAGCAAAATGTTTTCAAAGAAAAAAAAAGTCCAGTTGCCTTTTGGAAAATGCACCATTGGATAACCATGACCTGAATGATTGAGAATCTCCATAGATATTGCAACTTGCTCACACAATAATAAGGAAGCTGGTAGCCATTTCTATCTCCATTTACTGGTATAAGCTGTCCCTTTTTCGCAGAAGAGAGAAGTGCCATTTCCTCTACATTAAAAAGAAAAGAAAGAAAAGTTGATTCTAACTGCTTAGAATTGCTTCTATATAGACATCTCAATTGAAGATAATAATATTGACTAGAATCCTTGCGTGGTCACTTTCATATAATAAAGGTTGCTAATTTGAACAATGAGAGGGTGGTTCTTTGAATTTATCATTTCAAGTTCTGATTGTTGTTAGAGTCTGATACTTGGCCACAGTATCATCCCACTATTCAAAGAATAAAATAGCAAGGTATTACACTGGTTTCTGACTATATTGTAATAAATATTTGAGTCACGGAGAGCTGGCAGGACCTCCACATCACAAAACTGTTTTTTTCAAGGGGAATACAACCCTATCCAGAGCAAATTTAGGATATGAGAATGAGCCAGATACTCACTTATGAAGAACTATTCTGCCCCATGAGCTTTAATTTCATTTGTTGTGATCGGCCTAACTCTTTATAGTGCTGTGAAGTGCTAAGTCAGGTCTGGGTATGGTTAGTTTTATTAGCATAGTGGTTATTCTCAATCCTGAACTGAAAAAATTACTTTTTAGAAGCTTCAGGCAGATGTTAAAGAGCAGAAAAAGAGAGAAGACTTGCATAGCACATATGGGAGGAACCAAAAGGCCAGGCCATAGAAAACACTCCATCCAGATCTTAAGGCAACTGGTACTGTTTTTGTGCATTGCCTAGTCCTGAATCCCAGTCAACACAATCCTTTTTCTCTAGGATCCTCTGTGGCTAGAAATCTTTTCCACGTTCAGAATGTAGGTAACCCTCAACTTACAACCATTTGTTTAGCAATTGTTTGAAGTTACAACAGGGGTGAAAAAAAGTAACTTATAACCGATCCTCACACTTACAACTATCAGCATCCACATGGTCACATAATCTTGATTTAGGTACTTGGCCACCAGTTTGTGTTTATGGCTGCAGCATCCCAGGATCACATGATTGCCATTGTGTCCTCCCCAGCCAGTTTCTGACAATCAAAGTCAATGGGAAAACTAGATTCACTTAATGACTATGATTTGCTTAATGAAAAAAGCCATAAAATTGGATATGATCATGTGATGACTCACTTAATGACCACATTAAGGAGTTCTGGGTCCTGATTATAATTGTAAGTTGAGGGCTACTTGTAATCACATTTGATCTTGCAGAATGTTACCCAAGTAATTTCACCAGACTCTCTGTCCAAGTGGTATCTAAGCCCAAGGATTTGCAACGTAGTGAAGAACCTTGCAAAAAATATAATGGTGTTTGAGTCGATATTATTGTGGGAGCTTAGAATAGACTGCTTGAACTGCCAGAGATGAATGAGACTTTTTTGTGACAAATGACCAAACCTTTAATGAGGTATCTTAAATACCCTTACATTTTCTGGAAATCTTATTCTGCCAAAGGTCAGAGGTCTAACAAAATCCTCTCCTCTCTTGCCGAGTACATAAAGGACAGAACAAGGAGATTTGTTATATTTAATGATAATAATTTTATTTTTGTCCTGCCCCTGGAAAATATTTGTATTCCACTGTTTAAAATACTGAACCAATAGTTTAAATAACCTGTTAATTTTAAATGTGCTGTTGTTTATTATTCTTAATTTGTTAATTTGTCCCTATAGTTTGATTCAATATGGAACATAATTCTTAATTTTCTCAAAATTACATCTTTACGCATGGGATATAAATTACATCATTATAATATCAGCTCTTGAATTCTGCTAAAAGAAACATTGTGAAAATAAGAGATTAATTATACAACACATTTATGTGCCTTTTAAAAGAATAGGAAACTGGTTATCTTAAAACATTTAGAACATACTCAACAAAACTATGGCATAAGCCAAATTACCAAAGCCCATCTTCAAAATGTAATACCAATTATAGGTAGTCCTCAAGATATGACCATGATGGAGCCTGCATATTTGTCACTTATTGCCTTAGCTATTAAGCAATATTACCTCACTTAAATACCCCTACTCTCCCTGATGCAACTCTTAAATTAATGCAAGGGTTGTTAAGTGGAGTACAGGTAGTCCTTGACTTACAACCACAATTGAGCCTAATTGCTAAGTGAAACATTTGTTACGTGAATTTGTCCCATTTTACGATCTTTCTTGCCACCATTGTTAAGTGAATCACTGCCCTTGTTAAATTAGTAGCACGGTTGTTAAGTGAATCTGCCTTCTCCATTGACTTTGTTCAGAAGGTCACAAAATGGGATCAGATGATCCTGGGATACTGCAACCATGATAAATATGAGTCAGTTGCCAAACCTTTGAATTTTGATGACGTGACCACAGGGATGCTGCAGCGGTCGTAAGTGTGAAAACAATCATAAGTCACTTTTCTCAGTATGTTTGGTCACTAAATGAACTGTTGTAAGTCGAAGTCTACCTGTACAAGCTGCTTCAGGGATAGGAGTTGCCTGCCCTGGACCTCTCAAGGCTACCCCTATCCCTTAAGGCACCCATGCTCCACTTCCTGCCCCTCACGTCCTTCCCATCCAGTGAGCAAGAGAGATCCAAGCCAGCTGTAGAGCTTACAAGCCTTTAGCTGTCTTCCCACCCAGAAAACCTGGCACAACTCTGCTCTTTTGCATTAGGTTCTACTTTTGCAATACTGCATGGTGGTTTTTTTGTTTCATATTTTTAAGGAGGTTCCATTTCTTTATGGTGTTTATGGAGCCTCCTTAAAATTACAGGTGCCTGAGAATTAACACCTGCGTTGTTAGAAGGCTATGTCTATAAATCCTGTAATCAGGGCTGAATGCCTCTCTCTGAAGCTTCAAAAAACAGAAAGATACATTGGGTATTGTTGGGCCCTGGAGCAGGCTGAGTCCTGCAAGTTCCTGAGTGGGAAAGAAACTGGAGGCTCCAGACAGCCTAATCTCCCCTTCCTTGCTGAAAGTTGCAAACTCCAGAGGCCTGATCTCCCCTTGGTTGCTCATTGAGAAGGAAGATGGAGGCTTGGGTAAATAAGTGGCTGCAGGAACCCAGCGGGGTGGGATAGGGGGTGAGCACTACAGCATCCCTCGGTTGGCCATAAGGGCAAATGATTGTGGTCGCGCTGCAGCTGATGTAACTTTGAAACTGGGTCATAAGTAGCTTTTGGGCCTGTGTTATAACTTTGAATGGACACTAAAAGACGTGTTGTAAAGGAGTAGCTTTAATATAACACGAAGGAATTCTGCACATTTAAGCAAGTGATTAGAAGGCTGTATTTCTGCAAACTAGAACATTTGACAAATAGCAAACGTGAAGATCACATTCGGTTACTAGTTTGTCCTCTCACATTTCCATTTTTTCCTCAGAAAAGTGCAAACTTTATTTACTGCCCACTGACCGGCTTCGCTGTGGGAGAGAAACAATCAGAATTTGAAGGCTGGGCTTTCCAGTTTCCAGGAGTTTTTTTGCTGGAAGACTTTATAAACACAAATGAGGAATATCAAATGGTTGAACTAATGGATCGGAGCACATGGAAGCCTTCACAATCTGGCCGAAGAAAACAGGTCTTGTCTCAAACTTGAATTGCTCCTTAGTTTGGGACATAGGGATGGGGTCAACTTTCAGTGTTTATCTTTGGATATCTTTATTTGGTTTGTGAGTTCTTCCTTCTATTCTCTTTCCCTGTGATTTTTTTTTTCCAAAAGAAAAAGTCAAAGCGACAGAGAAATGTTAGTAGCATCTGTGGTGCAACCACTTTCATTCTGTTTTGATCATGATAAGTACTTGGTTTATTTTATCAGGGTTTATTCAATCCAGTTTACTTGGTTTACATGAGAAAATGAATTATGAACACACCATAGGCTGTATTTGCATAACAGATGGTTGAACAGAATAACAGAGTTGGAAGGGAGCTTGGAGTTTTTTTTAATTAACAGATTGTTGGAAGGGACCTTGTAGATCTTCTAGTCCAACCCATCACCAAGCAGGAGACCCTACACCATTTCTGACAAATGACAGCCCAATCTCTTCTTGAAAGCTTCCAGTGTTGGAAAATCTACAACTTCTGGAGGCAAGTCAACCCACAGATTGTTTTAACTCAGGAAATTTCTTGTTAGTTCTAGGTTGCTTCTCTTCTTGATTAGTTTTCATCCATTGCTTCTTGTCTTGCCTTCTAATGTTTGGAGAATAGGTTGACACTCCCCCTCTTTTTTCTAGCAGCCCCTTAGATATTGGAAGACTGCTATCATGTCAGTTTGTGATGCAGTGTGTTATGCAAATCACCTTCTACAGAAGTCTGTGTGTTTGCCCATCTTTCAACAGAAACAGCAGTGAAAGGGAGAAAAGCTAGAACAATATTTTTTTTAGGTGAAGGAATAGCTGCACTGAGAAAAAAAGAAAGGGAAACAAAACTGAGCTAAAGATGCATAATTCAAATCTCATTGTCAGAAAATCTCTAGACATGCTTAAGCAAGTCTTTTTTATTGCCATTTGACCTATTAAAATTAGCTATCATAAAGTCAATTAAGAAAAGAAAGAGCAAAGGGGTGGAAAGAAAAAAATCCAGCCACTACAGAAAAGTAACGTATGTTTCCTTGTAGTTGCAAAACTACTCAAAATAAGCAGATATTTAAATAGGAAGTAGAGCTAGAGTTACAATTTGATTATGTGCAACCAAGTCAGTGTTAAACTCATCACAACCATATAGATTTTCTTTGTGACAATATGTCCTGAATGTGACCCTTTTAGGCCACCTATCACCATTGTAACTCAGTCCATCGAACTTGCTCCTGGTCACTCCTCTACTTTCACCTTTCCTCCCAAATATAGAGTTCTCCAGAGAAATAAATGTTCACATAATGTGTCCAAAGTATGATAATTGGAATTTGGTTATTTGTAACTTGAATGAGAAACAAATCCTAGTTTGCTTTGTTTGAAGATGCATTTGTTTGTTTTCTTGGTTGTTGATGGTGTTTCTTAAGAAAGCAAATTGAGGGCAGAAATTTCTTAGGTACTAGCCAGTTAAGCAATCAATAAATATTCTTCAGTTGTTAAACAGGAAATGTTTCAGGTAGCAATTTCAGGAGAAATTAAAGCACAATTAATCACCAGGATAAAATCCCTGCAATATGTTGATGCTTGACTGATTATACTGCCATATTGCCCAAAATCATTGATAGTCTGACATTTTAAACCATTAAACAGATGCAAAACAGATATAAATTCTTATATTGAAATCGAGTTTTCCTGTATAAATATTTATGGTGGATTTTGTTTTGAAGATCATTTGTAGTAAGAGATACCTCTTTTAAGATGATATTTTCTACAATGTATGCAGAAACCAAATATTTTAAACAGATTTGTTTTCAAAATTAGTTTTAGATATACAATATATAATTTTAATTAAAATTATAGCCAAGAGTTTGTTGTTCAGGAAACAGCACTGTTGGACTGTGTTTGTCAATCTCAACTAGAATCTTATCAATTAATATTCTAACCCTGTTATTGCAGGTGGTGGACTAAAAATAGCAGCCTAAGCCTGCATTTTTTTTAGCGATGCAATCTGAGTTGGGGATTTCATTGCTCTCTGTCTTCAACTTTTAATTCAACCCTCCTCAAATATTCTTTGTTCTTTTTTAATAGGACTATGGCCCCAAAGTGAACTTCAAAAAGCAGAAATTGAAAGCTGGCAATTTTTCTGGGTTGCCCAGCTTCAGCAAGGAGATCGTGGCCCGAATGAGAAAATATCCAATTCTTGAAAGTTTTTCTCCTGTTGAGCAGTGCAATTTAGATTATGATCCTGAGAGAGGATCTGCTATTGACCCACATTGGGATGACTGGTGGCTATGGGGAGAAAGGCTGGTGAGTTTAAACTTGCTCTCAGATACCGTACTTTCCATGTCCTGCGACTCAGAGGACAATGTCCAGTTATTTCCTCTAGTTCTTCACAAAAACAAGCAGATGCACGGGTATAAATCTCCTGATATTTCTCAAGATTACCCGATTCAAGATTGCAGTCTTCTAGAAAGACTAGAAAGCACCTATTGTTCACCCACAAAGTTAGTCCCACTCAGAGAAATCCTTGTGGCGATTCACCTACCTCAGAGATCACTTGTCGTTCTCAGCGGAGCTGCTCGCTACCAGTGGAAGCATGCCATTTATCGCAACCATATTAAAAGTCGTCGCATATGTATCACCTTCAGAGAATTGACTGCTGAGTTTGGTCTTGGAGGAGAACAGGAAGAGCTGGGTAACAATCTCTTGGACATTGCTCTAACATTCAAGGGATCACCTGTATAACCCCAAGGGGAAAGCATTGAGGCTTTTCTTTGGCTGCTGCATATTAACATTCAGGGATTTCATAAACCTGCTTCCTTATTTCCCTTCCCCAGAGCAAAGTTATACAGCATTCATTAATCTTACAAGGGTGTTTCTCAAAGTTATATTCTAGAATTATTTACTTACTTACTTCCCCACTATAATTAAAATAATTTGAATTAATTTTTTAATCCAGTGTGGCTCTCCAGATGTTTCTGAATTTAATTAATGTTAACAGTGAAGCGAACACATGCATCTTTGGAATCAGAAGATTTCCTTTTAAAGTCTGTTTGCAGCTCATAGTCTGTGGCTTATGTTTCAATGTTGGGGTACAGCACCCACAATCCTCTTCCTTAGCTGACTAACTTGGGCTGTAGAGAGTTGTAATTCACCATCTGGAGGACCGTAGGTTATATGTTCAAATGTATTAATTAAGAGTTAAATTTCTTATCCCTAACCCTGTTAAAATCATTAGTTTTAAGGGTGGGTATACATTCATTTCTCTTTTTATTTTATTTAACTCAAACTCAAACTTCAATATAAGAGAAATAAATTAAAAACAGAGTTTATTAATCCTTCTCACAATTACGGCATTTGTCCAAGGATGCCATCCTTGATATATAACCAATAAAATATCTATTAATCACAGGATGATCAGTATCTAAGCTTATTTTTAAAATGTGGTGAATTCACATATGCATAAATACCAGAGCATTCATATTTTATCTTTACCTTCCAATCTCTATATCACAGAGGTCCTGGTATAGATTTTTTTTATTAACCTTTTTTTTTTTAAAGCAAATTAAAAAAAAATCATTAGAAAATTGAGAGGAAACAAAGCTGAACAAAGAAATGAAATCATAAATACATTATTTTGTGTTCTTCAAGTCGTTGACTCCTATTGACTGCCTGGACTTGTCGCTGCAGTTTTCTTGACAAGATTTTTGGAAGAGTTTCCCATTGCCGCCTTCTTAGGGCTAGGAGAGAGTGACAGGCCCTGGTTATCCAGTTGATTTTCTACCAGGCAGGACAAGAACTCAAGAGTTTCCTGGTTTTTAATTTGCTGCCTTAACCACTATAGTAGGGGTACCGAACCCCTGAGCCATAGCCCACCACCACGATTTGGCCCATTCAGAACTAAGCTGTGTGAGTGGTTGGGCACTTACACTCATGTCCATTCGTGTGAGCAGTGGGCATGTGTGCCTGCTGTTTGCACAAATGGAACTGTATACATTCATGCGTGTGCCTGCCACTCTCACATAACCATCCTCTCTGCTCCCCCAACCAGGTCACGAAGATGGATAGGTTGGGATCCACTGCACTGCAGTAAAGTGGCTCCCAATAGTCCTCATCCTTTTCTAACTAGGTTTATAGATACATGAATAAATTGATGCCACAATTCATTATCTTCCATAGCTGTTCTTAATTGTAAGTCCATTTTCTTTGTCCAAAAATAAAAAAAATGAAGTAATTTCTTTCCCATGGTAGCACGGTGGTTAGAATGCATATTGCAGGCGAATTCTGCTGACCGTCAGGGGTTCAGTCCTTACCACCTCAAGGTTGACTCAATCTTCCCAGCCTTCCGAGGACCCAGATTGTTGTGGGCAATATGCTCATTCTGTAAACCACTTAGACTTAGACAGTGCTGTAAAGCACAGAAGCAGTATATAAGTCTACATGCTGTTGCTAATGCTATTCTCAATAATATAAATGCAGTGAAGTGATTTGTAAAATATTATTTCTTGTGGAAAAAGATATAATCTAAAAATCTGCTGAAGTTTCTTTAAACACTTTTTAATTGAAGTTAATTACTTTTTAATTGAAGTTAGTTAAACATGCAAGCAAAACAAAAGATACATACATACATACATACATACATACATACATACATACATACATACTGGTACATGTGACTTATGACCACAATTGTACCCAATTTTTTTCTGTTGCTAAGCAAGACAATGGTTAAGTGAATTTTGCCCCATTCTATGACCTTCCTTGCCATATTTTAAGTGAATTACTGCATTATTGAGTTAGTAACATGGTTGTTAAATGAATCTGGCTTCCTCATTGACCTGGCTTGTGAGAAGGCTGCAAAAAGTGATTGTATGATCCTGAGAATTGCAATATGCCAGTTGCCAAGTGTCTGAATTTTGATCATGTGAGGATGCTGCAACAGTGAGGTGTGAAAAATGGTCATTACTCATTTTTCAGTGCTCTTGTAACTTTGAAGTCACTAAACAAATGGTCATGTGTTGAGAACTACCTGTATGTGTACTTAAGGTATTTTGAATTTGTGTTATATATACACAGGTAATCCTTAATTTATAACCACAATTGAATTTCTGTTGCTAAATGAGACAATTGTGATGTGAGTTTGCCCAGTTTAATGACTTTGTCACAGTTGTTCAAAGAATCCCTGCAATTTGAGTTAGCACTGTAATTAGCAGTTAGACTTATATACCGCTTCATAGGGCTTTCAGCCCTCTAGCGGTTTACAGAGTCAGCATATTGCCCCCAACAACAATCCGGGTCCTCATTTTACCCACCTCGGAAGGATGGAAGGCTGAGTCAACCCNGAAAGGGGAGGGGTGTTTGCAGGAGACAATTAGTTAATTCCTGCATTCTTGCCAAGTATTGCGGCGTCTGAAAGACTCTCCAAGCCTGATAAAAGTCGGTAATTGTGAACTATCTTGAAAGACTGTAGGAGAGGAAAGATTTTGCACTGTAAATTAAATAAAAGGGGTTTATTAGGACGAAGACTCGGCTTCGTGCTGCTGGGGAAATCTAGGTCACAACAGTACCCTGAAATGGCAAGCTTTAAAACCAAATGAAAAGGAACTGATGAAAAAGTATGATAAAAGAAGTAAGGATGAATGCACCCCTGATGAAAGAGCAGAGCTGACCTGCAGTTATCAAAACATACATGTACCATTCAAATGCTGGTAATTTGCAAAATCAACAATATTCTGAAAGAAGGTGCCTTTGATGCATGTAGGAATAGAAATTATTATTAAATAAAATTTGACTTTTTCTGAATATAGCCATTGTTCTCAAAGGCCACTTCCAGTATTGCTCTTTAACAATACTGTAGCATAGTCATTGTTTGTCATTCCTCTTTGGAATTAAAATCAGTTAAAATGATGCAACAAAAACACTGTATAAAACTACGTAGCTTACAGCTGTTTGAAGCCCTGGGAAGAAAAATGAAGCAAAAGGTGAAATTGCACAAGTTAGTTGATGAAAAGTGAAATAATGGGAAAAACACGTAAGAATATTGTAATTAGGCTAGCTGAATAGCAACAACAGCTTGACTTACAACAGTTTGTTTAGTGACCACTGCAACGGCACTGAAAAAAGTGACTTTGACCATCTTTCACACTTATGACTGTTGCAGCATCCCCATGGTCACGTGATTTATGGATGCCTGACAACTGGCTCAGTGTCCCAAAGTCATTTGATCCCCTTTTCTGACCTTCCATCAAGCAAAGTCAATGTGGAAGCCAAATTCAGTTAACATATAATATGTGTTATTAATTTAACAACTGCAGTGATTCACTTAACAAACATGGCAAGAAAAATTGTGAAATGGGGCAAAACTCACTTAACAACTGTTTCACTTAGCAAAATAAATTTTGGGCTCAATTGTGGTCATACATTGAGGACTACCAGTATTTACATACTACCACTTTTCAACAGATATGTTCTATTTTTTTNCTCCTTGCTAGGAATAGAAAATCAAATGCTGTACAGTCCCAAATGTGCTTTTTTTCAAGAGACAACTGGACTTTCTGGTTTTTTCTTTGAAGACATTTCGCTTCTCATCCAAGAGGCTTCTTCAGCTCGGGGTGGGGGTGGGGGGAGGAGCACCTTTGGGACAACCATGACTAAGAATCTCCATACTGTACAGTATTTTTATTTTTTTTCTTCTCATCTTATTCCATCTAAATTGAGTCACATATAATTTTTTTAAAAAAATATACTTGATAGCCATGTTCTTGGGCAATATTTGACGCAAACCTAAATTAGAGTTTACAGTTAGTTTGCTTGATTACACTGGGCTGCATATACTGTGGAATAGATTGTGCTAGATTTCAGCCCTGCTGATAACAAAGGACATTGTGGCTAGCTTGTCCCAATTATTGTAATGAAACTAAAGTGGAACTTAATCCAGATCCAATCAACTGCTCTAAGAAACTTTTTTTTTAACTACAGGAATATATGGCTCTTCTATTGCCATGTAAATATTGCATATAATCTATTTGTTGTACTGCAGTTTTCAGAGAATCTCAATTACCAGCTATAGATCAGACTTGTGATTTAGGCCTAATTTGAAGATACACAAATACTCACACCATCTCCAATACACATGTTATTTAAATCATTAATGACAAGAGATTAAAAAAAGCAGTACAAAAGTTGTTTTGAAGTATCCAAAACTGGTATTTTATGTAGCTTCACAACTAATATGTCTTTTGCAGAAAATACATATACAATGGATATATATATATATATATATATATATTAATTATACTAAAACAAATATATCTGGCAAGCAAAAGTAAGGGATGACGTATTACCTTTGAACAATTTACCAGCAGAGATTATATTTTATGATTATATTCTATTTTTCCTTTTCAAAGTATCCCTAAATTTACATAAGAAAAAACTTTGGGGAAATTTTGTCTTTGTAATTCATCATACAATTATCCTCTTATTTGCAAAATACAGTAATTTTTGAATATATATATACTGTAAGGTGTGTGAAATAGGATATTGATGTATGTGAATATAGGGCACACGTTTTGAAAGATACCTGCTACAATCAACTCTTATTAAATTAGAATACATAAGGTAAAATTTAATTTTCCCACACTGAATAGAGCTAAATGAAATCATCCACATTTCACTAAGTTAGAATTCTGTGAACACACAGAACTGCTGTGAATCCTTTGAACAAGGATTCTTGGACTTGTAAAAAGGCCTTTTCCAAATACTATCCATATTATGTCACCACTACAGTATTTCTACATCGTAAAACAACTTTGTGCATTAATCAGAATTTGTACTTTACATTCCAGCTGTCTTCTGATATTGGAGAATAGTATCAGCTTGGAGGCCTCCTGCAGCGTAACAAATTGTGTCTCCAGGGCTGTGTTGTTTTTAAATTACAACCTTACACATACAACTGTTGTGCAATCAGAGGAGATTTCTAAATTTAATGTACTGTATATTCCTCTTTTAAATCTTTCTTTTATAATTAGCATTTAAGAAGAAAAAGTACTGCTGTACTTTCCCCAAAATTCTGATTAACCAAAAACATGGGGATTTCTGGGCTAAGGGCTGTTTTTTCTTTTTTCTTGCGAAAAAATACTTTATAGAAGCAATATGAAATAATAAACGAAGAAAAATAATGCAGGCAGGGTAAAAATTCTTGGCTCAATCCGAATCTATCCTTGTTGGTAATCCAGAAATACTCCCTGGGTGTGAAATCGCAAAGCAGACACATTTCACAATTTCCATAGCATCTATTTGCATGTGACGATGTACAAACTCATTCCCAAAGCAATGCCTGTAAACCTTGCCAGTAAGAGGAGAGCAGTGGCACCCAGACTTTTCCCTTACTCCATGCATTTCCTCAAAAAAATACTACAAAGAGCAGCAATTAAAATGCATCACAACCATGCAGCTAGATAGGCTGTTTTCAAGTTATGGAAGTGGAAAGAATAACTGCCCAGATGTAAGTAGCCTTCAATTTTATAAACATGGTTATGTTGGCTGCAGGATGAAGAACCGAAGGGAAGTTGATCTTGGCCTCAATGAAAAGCAGCCAAATTTTTGACATCAGAGAAAGATAGGATTCTAAACAGCCTATCATGCCTTTCTGCTGCTCTGCTAAAAGAACCCTCAGCTGAACATGAACGTAGGAATAAAAAGGCATTTGTTTGTCACACAACTTGCAAACCCCTGTCATGCCCATCTAGCTGCACTTTCAATTTGTGGAGCTCTTCAATCTCTCGGTTGTGGCGTTCTGTTTTGTGGAGGACAAGCGACCGGTAGAAATGGATCGTGAAGACAACAAAGATGATCCCCACGGGAACCATAATTATAGTAGAGATGAGGGCCGCATGCCAGCCTGTATGCTGGCTGGTCTTCTGGATAACAGTGCTATCATTTCTCAACGCAGAGTCCACTGGCAGGAATTTGATCCAGCATAGGAGGACCACCTCAGCAAGAAAGAGAAGGATGCCCAAAACAGTGGAAAAACCCCATGCCAACTCTATGTATAGATGCATACGTTCATGGGGAGACTCACTGATAGAGTTCAGGTTGTGGATGTTACTCACTGCTTCCACATTAGGCAAGATGCAAGTGCTGATAAGTAGAGCAAAGAGATGGACAGCAACTAAAATGGTGGTGCAAGCACTAAAGGCAATCAGCAGCATTGGGGGATACTGGTACTGCATCTCAAGCTGGACTTCAACCATTGCCACCTGCAAAATAACATATGAAGAGGTGACTATTTGTTTGACCTGAAAGACCAGGTTAAGGACAGATCATCATGGAGAAAATGTATCTACCTAGTTGATAAGAGTCAACACTGATCTGATGGCATAACCAATCAGTTTGATTGGATTTAGATTGGAGTTTCATTGGAGAAACCAATTACATAAGCATGTTGCCAGGATAGAAGGGAAGATAGTCAAATGAAAAGAAGTCATCCACTTAATGCTATCTTTTTAAGCACCCATAAACCTAATAGTATTGAAATTTGTTTTAATCCATGACTCTGCTGCTAACATGGTTTTATGTTTTGGGAAGGAAGGTTCCTAAACATGGTGTGGTGTGGTAAGGAAAGGAAAAGAAAAGAATGGCAGAAGTTTTTTGCACCTAAGGGTTGCATTTTTCCCCAATCCATAAGGTAAATGACACAATGATGTCATTAAGCACATTAAATGGTGCAAAGCCACAATTTCCTTCCTTCCTTCCTTCCTTCCTTCCTTCCTTCCTTCCTTCCTTCCTTCCTTCCTTCCTTCCTTCCTTTACCACCCAGAGTCACATTTTGTGAGATGGGCAGCCATATAAATATGATAAACAATATACCTATTTTTACCCTTATTTCTTTTTCAAAATAAAGAAATTATCTTTGCTGCGAAATGTTAGTGCTGCGATACCAGACAGCTTTAGGGTTCTGAAGGCTGGGGAGTCACATAGTTTGTATGTTGCCACCTCTGATGTAACAGGAATCTTGAAAGTTTCATTTACTTTATTTATTTCATTTCATTTACTTTATTTGTATGCCGCCCTTTTCCCTGAGGGGACTCAGGGCGGCTCACAATTCAGGGGGAGGGAGGGACAAACAAGTTACAAACATGAAGACAATACATCATTAAAAAAGCACAACAGTCATACTATTCGAGTGGGGTTGGAGTCTTTAGCCCCAGGCCTGTCGGGACAGCCAGGATTTAAGGGCTTTGCGGAAGGCCTGGAGGGTGGTGAGGGTACGAATCTCCACAGGGAGTTCGTTCCAGAGGATCGGAGCAGCCACCGAGAAGGCTCTCCTCCGGGTAGTTGCCAGTCGACATTGGCCGGCAGATAGAAT